TTGGGCCGGTCGGTCGGATTAATTTTTTTTTTTTTTTTTAAGTTCAAATTAAAGGTATCGTAAATAGCCGAGCTATATGGGGGAAAAAAACACGACCCGATATTTTATATTTTTCGGTCGGTCGCTGTGGGCGACAAGAAAATTTTTTTTTTTGGTCTTATTATTAATCAAAGTACAAAATTAAATGTATCGTCTTTTTTAAATAAAATATTATTTTTAACATAAAAATTGCTTTATTTGAGTGTTGCCTGTTATGAATAAGAATTCCTTTGATTATGATGTGAAAAAAACAAACATTGACAGTTTATTTGCAAGGAAGAGAATAAAGTTGGCAAAAAACCAGACATCAAGTTGACAGATAATGTTCCCATTGTATCCTGTACAAACTGTTTTCTTTCTTGTTTTGTCATGCATGTAATGAACAAGAAATCAAGTTCATGCACACAACTACTTCAATTTTTGAATTGCTATAGCCACATTTACTCTCTGTTTAGGTCATGGAGAAAAAAAAATTACAGACTAACAAAATACTGAGTTGGTTCTAGTCGTAAACGTTTGTTTATTTTTATTTTTTTAATTTCCATTAAATTTGTGCTTTTATATTGATTTTTTAAATTTTTTTCTTTTTTTCCTAAATTTTTTACAAAAATAAGGTGTGAAGTGTCAGTTCTGATGACTAAAAATGTGAATATTCTTATTTCAGGACCAACAACTATGAAGAATGAATCAGATGGAATATTCATTTTTAGTGTCCATAGTTGAATACAGTAGTTTTCTCATGTGCTATTTAGGTAAAATATTCATTGAGTTCGTCAATACCATCAATGTGTCAAACCTATTCTCATCATCAGGATAAACGACAAAGGCAGTTTATATCACAAATAATGCTATTATTTGAAAATCAGATTCTTTATTCGTTGGGGGAGGTGGTAGAAAATAATGAACCGTTAAGAATTCTGTAATGCCTATAGCCCCATGCAGGTAATTCAAAGATTGTGAATGCTTACAGACAAAAGTCACAATTCTCACATATCACAACACTTCAGTATCGATTGCTTTAAGTCCACAATGGTTAATTTGCATAACAATACAATAGACCTAAGGCCATCTCAAGTATTTCAAATACGAGTCATTAAATAGGTGTGTATTCATCACAGTATTGATGTAAGTAAAGTCAAATTCTGAAAAATAAATATACTTGTTTTGTTTTTAAATATAAATTTTGTATGTGAACATTTAGCCCCGAGATTATGTTATACTTGCAAACTTGTAATTTTGATAATTACCGGTACAGCATTAAAGGTAATTTATGCATGTTGCAGCTTGATTTCTCATTACAACCGTTTTGACACCCTCAATGCCCTAGAGACCAATTATCCCATCCCATAGGGTAGGTCTCCCTTATTCCAAATTACAATGCATGGCAGTTAGTACCCTTAGTGGGAAACATTACCATTGTTTAGTAAGGAGATTCAGCAGTGAGGCAGAAAATTGTCACTAAAGAAATGGGTAATTTGCTAAGTAAATCACATTCTTCAGAATTTAACAGATTCAGTCAAGTGCAGAGGAGTGGCAATTGAAGTCTTAGATGCTTGTAGCAAGTCACAAAAATTCTGGTGGTTTATTCTGGTAGTGAACATGTTCCAGGTATGAAGTGCCCTCATACAATAATCATTGTATACACATAAACATGGAAACATTTCTGTAACCAGAACAATGTGGTTCCTACCTCCCTCAGTCTTGTCTGGGATTGTGACTAAACTGTTCATATGTAATGTTTATATATTAGCAGTGAGAAAAGAACACAAATCCGAGTAAACACACAAAATCAATATATGTCATGATATACAAATACTTAAGGTAAGCAAAACACAAAAGAACCAACAGGGTTCACTATTTAACAATTGGTTCAAGGACGACGAAAAAAATAGAAATGTGCACGACCACCGCATAATATAAAGGAATTAGACAAAATGTAATAAACTGTCGTCAGGTGGATGTAAATAAAATATTTGGAAAATTAAATATCTAATTTTTCCAGCCCTCCCAATATTTCAAACGGGAAACACTAAAACGGTGGTCTGAGGAGGAACTGACAAACCCATCTAAAACCACGGGTGCTATTTTCAGTAACCGTGCGCGAAGCAATATATTTTTAGTACTTTACACTACCTTTAATTTCTCGTAAATATCCTGCACCAGGTGAACTTGACTTTCGTGTTTGCTGTGCTTACCGGAAATCTGGCAAAGACAACAGACAAGAACCTTGCACGACGAACAGTAAAAAAGCAAACTCTCGTTATGAAGCTCACACATGCGTTTGTGACTTCCAATCACTGCATGCGATGCTTCCTTGTCTTTCTTGTACTGTGCAATGATGTTTTCCAGTGCTCTGTTCACCTGTAGTTCGTCGACATCTTTGTAACCCAGGCTATAATTCGTACGACAGGTTGGACAGCTGAACGATCTGCGCCGCAGCGAAAACCGATGATCGCCATTTTCGAGTAAACTTCTCACACATTTCTTACAGAAATTGTGCGAACATGATAGAATGATCGGTGTTTCCAACAATTCAAGACAAATGCAACAAGTCAATTCGTTTTCCATGGCAGATTTTGTCTGTAATGCCAACAAAATTATATGATGTTATTTGACGCACAATTTCCGAGAAAAACAGCCTTCCCCACCACAGTATATAGCATCGCCGGTTATGCTCAACATATGACTCGCAATGCATTATAGGTAAAAACACAGGTAGGCGTGACCCCGGGCGTGACTTGATCGGCCCTTTTGACCGTTAGCCTTAGAATTGTGTGGCATTGTGTTCTTTCAGCGCCACCAATTAAAACGTATTAAATTTTAAAATATTATTGTCATGTAAAATAGTTTGAACGGTCACTATCGTTACATATGTGAAGCGTATGGAAAAGAAGTGTGTAACAGAAACAGTTCGTTCTCAGGTTGTCTGAGGTTTGTTTTGTTTTTGTGGGTTGGGGCTAAATAGGGCCGTGCATAAAATTAGGAACGGCTCAATTTGATTTTCAAACAAATCACAGAGCTGTTATGACTGTAGTATTTTAGTGGTGAATTCAATATACGAGTCATGATTACTGATTATGGGTCCGGACCATGAATCCAGTTTTGGAGCTTTCTGATTTCACTTCTCGAGTCGAGAATACAGTTGCTGATCATTTTGAATAGTTGGTAATCTTTTTAATTTTCATTTGAGATGGCAGTCCACACGTTTACCTCGTTTTAATATTTGTGTTTTTTTTCGTGGCAAAATGTTCATCTCTCTCTTGCTCTGCTAAGTTTGCTGTCGCGTCATTAAACATACATGTAATTTCATTTGCATATAATTCCAAAATAAATTATTTGTTCCTGAGATATTGACTTGTTTATATGGAGATTGCTGATGTGTATTACAATAAACTAACTATGTGAAGTGATAATGAGGGCCAGGTATCATATATATTAATTACTAATATATATTACACAGTAGACTACTGTAAGCGTGATTTAATTTGGCACGGTGCGCGGTGGTTCAGTTAAATTTGACAATCGTAAATAACTCCTCAATTACTATTATTCCTGTGCGATGTGTTTGACGTCGACGTATGGGAGGCAGCAAATAAGGTGAAAGGACAAGAAAGTTGTCTAGAAGACAGAAACGAGAGGACTGGTTGAAGAGAAAGAAAAGGTACTTTAAGTAATATTTGAGTTGGAGTGACAAAAATAATTTATAGAACTTGATCGCTGATGGCGCTGCTCGTACGTTGTCCTTGAGTACGAAGGACGAAGGAAAGTTATATCGGATAAGCTACGCACCGCCAGAATTGAAAATCCACGTACATATGTGGTGCAGCCACAGTTTTTAAATGACTTTTTCAGTTAACTTTCAAATAACCCAATTATTATTGAAATATATACTTTAAATAAACCTAGATATATAAATAATAAATAGAGTCAAAACCGCGGCAAGAAAACTACTTAACAATTATGAAAAACAATGAACTTCGCAAATCCTTAACAAAATTTAGACTTGGCAACCACTGTCTGAAAATTGAAACAGGCCGGCATATAGGTTTGGATTTTAAAGACAGAGTCTGCAATATGTGCGACAATGACCATGTTGAAGATGAACAACATTTTATCATAAATTGTCCTCATTACAACGAAATAAGATCAAAACTTTACATTGTAGCTAATAAATGTATACCAAATTTTGACAAATTTAGTAATGAAAATAAATTCATATCATTACTAAGTGACGAGAAAATGTCTATTCCTTTAGCACAATATTTAAAAAACTGTTTTAATACAAGACAGCAGCACCTAAATAAACTAAGCTAGTAACACATTCCTCGTATACAAATTTATCTTTCTTTTTTTTTTAATGCTTTTTTGTTCCCTTACTTTTTATGCAGTTATTTTTCTTTTACTAATATTTGATTTGTAACCCTTTCATCCCCTCCGGGGGATGTTGTGTGTTAATAAATAAATAAATACCAACACACCTGTTTCAACCCCAGGATAGTAATACAAATAAAAGAAATAGATACATGCCATTTTGGCGAAATAGACCCAAAACAGAACAGAATCTTAATTTAGCTAAAGTGCCAACAATCTCATTGTGAGAATATACTTTCTTTTAAATTAGCGACATCTTGAATTAGCTAAATTAGCTAAAATACTTGTTAGCTAAAATGAAAGCTTTACAGTGTGAAAAGGCGGTGGTCGTCGTGTCGCGTCTTGTTCGACGTGGGACTCATAGCAACGTATACAACGCGTGTAAAATACATTGTTTATTTACATGAAATTCGAACACGTGTCTGTGAAAAAAAGAACCTAGCAGGCCAGTTTGGCCAATATTTTACAAAAGTCTCCAGTCAGTGTCCTGTGTACCAGTTTGGCCAATATTTTGGAAAAGTCTCCAGTCAGTGTCATGCGTACCAGTTTGGCCAATATTTTGCCAAAAAGTCTCCAGACAGTGTCATATGTACCAGTTTGGCCAATATTTTGCCAAAAAGTCTCCAGGCAGTGTCATGCGTACCAGTTTGGCCAATATTTTGCCAAAAAGTCTCCAGGCAGTGTCATATGTACCAGTTTGGCCAATATTTTGCCAAAAAGTCTCCAGTCAGTGTCATGTGTACCAGTTTGGCCAATATTTTGCCAAATCGTCTCTAGGCAGTGTCATGTGTACCAGTTTGGCCAATTTTTTGCCAAAGCGTCCGCAGGCAGTGTCATGTGTACCAGTTTGGCCAATATTTTGCCAAAAAGTCTCCAGGCAGTGTCATGCGTACCAGTTTGGCCAATATTTTGCCAAAGCCGTCTCCAGGCAGTGTCATGTGTACCAGTTTGGCCACTATTTTGCCAAAAAGTCTCCAGGCAGTGTCATATGTACCAGTTTGGCCAATATTTTGCCAAAAAGTCTCCAGGCAGTGTCATGCGTACCAGTTTGGCCAATATTTTGCCAAAGCCGTCTCCAGGCAGTGTCATGTGTACCAGTTTGGCCACTATTTTGCCAAAAAGTCTCCAGGCAGTGTCATGTGTACCAGTTTGGCCAATATTTTGCTAAAGCGTCTCCAGGCAGTGTCATGTGTACCAGTATGGCCAATATTTTGTCAAAGCGTCTCCAGGCAGTGTCATGTGTACCAGTTTGGCCAATATTTTGCCAAAGCGTCCCCAGGCAGTGTCATGTGTACCAGTTTGGCCAATATTTTGCCAAAGCGTCTCCAGGCAGTGTCATGTGTACCAGTTTGGCCAATATTTTGCCAAAGCGTCTCCAGGCAGTGTCATGTGTACCAGTTTGGCCAATATTTTGCCAAAGCGTCCCCAGGCAGTGTCATGTGTACCAGTTTGGCCAATATTTTACCAAAGCGTCTCAAGGCAGTGTCATGTGTACCAGTTTGGCCAATATTTTGCCAAAGCGTCTCCAGGCAGTGTCATGTGTACTAGTTTGGTGGATATTTTGCCAAAGTGTCTCTAGGCAGTGTCGTGTGTACCAGTTTGGCCAATATTTTGCCAAAGCGTCTCCAGGCAGTGTCAAGTGTACTAGTTTGGTGGATATTCTGATCTGCTCAATTGGAAACGCTCGTTCACATCAGCGCTTTGTGTTAATGAAAAGAGTGAATTTTTCAGTAGCACACATCTGCTGGCAATTCTTAGGCAGTATATATTCATTTGAATAATCTGTGACAAATGAGTATGTATTTTAATTCAAAGTGTTGGTAAAAGTATATTAATTCTCTGGGAATTAGATATGTGCATAATTAA